CTGCTGCTTAGAAGTGTTCTTAGATTTTGGTATAGTTATTCTATCCAATGGGTAGGATTCATTCCTCAGGTCAGATCTCACTTGATTCAGATTATTACCATAGAGTGAGTAGAAAAAGATGTCAGACGTTGCTGTCAACAAATAGATGAAAAAGTTCTAAATTTTCCTTCCACAATTCAACCACTTTATTTTCAAATATAACTGTAAGCTATTATCAAATCTTGTATTACACACTAGAATAAATCAAAACTCTCACTTAGCAATGTCAAGATGATGTAAGAATTGAAGACTTAGGTTTTCAAATGTGAGCAGAGACTTTTTATGTTTCAATTTCAGAGTATCTTTTAAAATACATTTTTAAAGGGTCTTCACTTCTATAAGTGGATGCTGAGAAAATCAGGGCTCTTTGGCAGTGTCTATTATGCACTTTTTCCCATGCGTAACATACCCCAAATCACTATGTTTTAAAAACTCTTGCTAAGCTTTCAAAATCCTAAAAATCTTTGTTTTCCTGTTAGTTTATTGTATTGGAGGGAGCAGCACAGGTACACTGCAACACTGGAGTGAGTTCAGGTGCTGCAATGGGTGCTGCTGATGAAACTGGAGCTTCTGTTGCCTTGCTCTGCAGAACACAACGTCAGTGCATATGCTTGCCTGTCCTGGGTGTTAAGTTCCTCCCTAAGATCCTTTTCTCAGGCAGCACAGCAAGAATTCCTGCGTTTTATTCTATATTGTAAACAGTCACCAGATCTTTACATGCATGAGAATAATTTGATTAGAGGGCTTTGAGAGAAATGGACATCTATTACGTTTTATTTATGGAGCAAGTACATCTTAAAGAGCATTTAGATGATCAGATCCCCCTGAGTCTCAGATACCTTATGGCAGGACTTTTGAACACACCCAATAATTCCTCCTGTGACACTAAATATTGGTTTTAGTTTAAACATTGGGAAATAAATCAGTTTTTAAAGCTCATTCAAATGTTGTATGAATATTTTTCAAATATAATTTATATTATCACTCATGCATAACCTTTCAAATGAATAACTCACGGCAGCGAGTAGTCACTTTTGATAATCTATAGTGGTGTATTATGTTGGTTCTGCTGAGAGATTAACACTTATGGCCTAAGGAGTAAAACCAGAGAATCTAATCCATTTGTTTGCCTATTCACAGTGACAGATATTTTCTTAAATTAAAACCTATTAGTCTGAATTCTGAATCTTAAAATTGAATCTGTTTTAGCTCATTTTAGACTCTTACAAAACAGGATTAGGATATATAATGTATTGGAGGCAAAGAAGTATGCAGACTATCGATTTTCAGCACAGTTTTCCCATCACAGACGCTGAAGAATGTTTCTAACAAAAATTTATGGGATGTTAAGCAGAGAAATGGTTTCAAACAGCTATTGGAAGATGGAGGAAATAGGCTGGACCCGGTCTGTTAATAATTGCGTGTTATAATTTTTCTGAAAAGCAGCTGAATTTGAAATGTTTTTTCACTACAATTTATGATGGCACATCTAATATAGAAGTAAGCAAAAATGTAAATGCTATTTTAGTAATATTAGTTGGACTCAATTCACATGATGTTATAAAATTGTGTGCGTTTAACTATAAATAGTGATGTGGTAGAAGTTAAGGTTTACCAGAGAAAACACTGGGATGTATGCAGATGATATAGTTTATGTCTAACTTCTGCAATTTCTGGTCAATTAAATTTTAATTTCTGTAACTGGGAAATGTTAGTGATGTACGATATGGCCTTTGTCGGTTGGTTTTTGGCAGGAAGCAATAGGGGACCCACTGGTATTGTCTCCTGGCAGATACTGTGCAGTACTTCACAAGTTGTGCTGAGTTTAAGGAAAATGCAGATTCTTCTGTGTGGTTGCACAGGGAGATACTGGAGCACTGGACCTAAAGGTAATTTTAGGAAGCACACTGCAGCAATAAGGGGGAGGCTTAGGGAAAGCTTTTGTTTTGTTTAGATGTTAAGGAAGCTGCCTCATGTGAATTAAAACCCTTGTTAAACCCCTTCCTCTTAATCTCATGTTGTGGACAATGAAAACCCCAAACATGCAAATGTTGATCTGCTTCAAAAAGTAACATACATAACCTAATTAAACCAACTGCTTATTGACTTTAAAAAAGCCCCAACAGAAGCCAAACCAAAACAAAAAACCCACAACCCAAACACTTATTTTCTTGTATTATGCACTTCTGAAGAGACAAGGCTCTATGATTTTCACTATGAGGTAACCTGTCTAAACAGTATTTTCAATAGCCCTTAAAGCAATTGCTTTAAACACTTCTAGTTCCAACAGTCAAGACGTGGCAAATTAGAGGAAAATACAAGATTATATAGTTAGTGGAGCTGCACCTGCGAAAATTGGGTGTGAATTTGGTCATAAATGAACTTGGTCAGACATTTGTGGGGGGAACCTTTTAGGACATGCTCCCAACATAGAAGTGACTTCTAAGCATAATGTGAAAAAATGCATTTCCTTTGAGGCAATAGTGGCTATTAAACCCACTTTTTAGAAAAGACGTGTTATATGAGATGTGATTTTGGGTTAAATCTTGGCAAAAAGAGCTGCCCCTTTTTGGCACCTTATTATGGAAGCTGTGGTGCCTGATAGAAGATATAATAGCTATCTAAACCTTTCATTTGAAAAAGGTATGCTGCTTATATTCCACAGCATAGCAATTGCATGTCAGTATAGTTTTGAAGAGAGTAGGTGGCCAAGTCATGCAAGAACTGGTAAGCTACGTCAGTATTGGAATTGATACACTGTCCAGCAACAGATCTGTCTATTAATTTATCTCTTCCCTTGTCAGAGATGCTTTGAACAAACTTACAAACAGCTTGTGACATCAAGCTCCTACTTTTACTGCATGAACAGGGAACAATCTCTGAAAGTTGGTTTGTTCAGTATGTAGTGCAGCTCTTACATGACCCTGGGTAAAATGCCAGGATTGTACTTAAGGATTAGAGTCTGCTGATATTAATAAATCATTCAAAATATAGGGCTTTGTTGTTGTTTTTTTCGTGTCAAGTAAATGCTGTGATTTAATTACAATAAAGTATTTCATAAAAGAACAAGTTTTATTCTATAAGTTATTACTTTGATGAGCAATGAAAAAGTGATTAAATAACTTGAATCGGTTTTCTGAACCAGAATTGGCATTCACTTTATACTTGAAAACTACTATCAGAAGAGATGAAGCAGATACTGTTGCAAGTTTTGAATAAAGAACAAAAGCTAAAGTTTTTTTAAACTGGATCAGAGGGATAATGAGAATTACCATTGGGTCTTGTCATTGTCCTGCCTCTGCAACACTACCCCCCAACCTGGTATGATTTTGAAGCATAGTCCCTGATTGTATGCTAAAAGAGAAATCCTCCATTTCAAAAAAAAAAAAAAAAAGCAACCCCCCAAAAATCCCTGGTATTATTTGTTAGTCTGGTCTAATGTGCCTAAATCAGAAGTAAATGTATAATTAACCTTTTTTCATGATAAATTAACATTAATTTTCTTAGGATTAGTGGGAAATAGCATAATATAGGGCAGGTTTAGCATTCACAGTAACTGTCACATGGGACCTTTAACACTCTTACAGGATTAGTGCAGCCAGTGATTCATCCTGTTACCATGCACACAGAAATAGTGTGCAGCTTCTGACCATCAAAGAGGCTTTCCTAATTATCAGCTTTTACAAGTGAGCACAGAAAGATTAGAATATAAATATGAGGAAGATGGCTTTAGAGTTCTTGAGGGAACAAGATAAAATGCACTCTTTACCCAGCGAGTAGTTTGATTTTGAATGAAATTTTGCAGTATTGTTCGAGAGCCCATCATTAGGAAGATAATTAATGAAAAGGCCTGTTGTTAGGTCTAAGTGAGTGTGGTGTCTGTATGTCTGTCCCCCTCTTTTTCTTTTACAAGGGCATTTCTTCCCCGTCTTATTAATCTGAGCATTCTTTATGCAAGGAAAAAGATGAATAATTTTTGAAGAGTGGGAAAGAACAGTTGAACTTGAAAAACACTGGTTGAAAGTGTACGGCTTTGATGATACTGAGAAACAGGCCAGCTCTGTTTAGGTACTGAAACACAGATTCAGTGCTTAATTTTGTGGAATCCAAGAGCCCAGAAGCAGAATTCTCTGGCTTAAACACTTGAACCAAAATAGGAAATGAAAATACAGACGCTTTAGAAGGGTCGTTCTGGTAAGTCCTATTAGCCGCCAGAGACTCCTTCTCCAGCTGTGCTGTGGTTCCTGTTTCTCTGAAGCCAGGCACAGAAACCTGCGGATCAAAAGTTAAGGAAGGACATAGTTTCCCTACCTGACGATGCTCCCCTGGAGTGTGCACACAGACAGTGACTGCGGCTCAGCAGAGGTGACGTGCTGAAATGTGTAAGGTGCACTTCCATTGCAGATGTCAGTCCACAGATGAGGTGATAGAAATTTTTCAAGCAACTCACTCCACTTCTTTTCTTATCTTTATCCTTTACTGTAGATGCAACAATTTATTGTCTATAATACACAATCTCTGTCCTGCTCAGCTGGGGCTCCTTTGTGCCTCCTTTGCTAAATGTCAGCCCATGGAGGAGGAAATGTGGAACTGCACCACCTGAGCAATACCTCAGGAAGACAAAAAACCCAATATGCTCTTAATATATTGAATATAACCTTTTACAAGTTGGTGAGCTCTGCCTTGCAACTCAGAAAGAAAAATTGATGGAGATTATGGCTCCTCTCTGAATATAAGAGACTGTGGATTGTTTGGGCCACCAATCCATGTTGGCCACCAGTCACCTGCATTTTCCTGGACATGTCCCCTTTTGCATGCAGAGTTCTTGTCCATGTAGATTTCAAGAATTTAACAGATTAGTCTGGGTTTTGTGGATGTCCTAGAAGTGTAGATGCTACCATGTAGGCTGTCATATGTTCATAAATCTCAGACATCTGGCAGTCCAGCTGGAACTAGTGTGCACAGAAGATCTTGTATAGCCATGCCTAGCAAACCCTGGGAGGAGCTGGATTCCCTCCCTTCACATGTGCTACACAGTTGACTCTTGCACAGAAATGTCCTGAGCTGTTGGACTGGTTCATTGCACATGGACAGGAGTACCTGCAGCCTATTTTTCTTCATGCTTTTTTCTTTCCCTGAATCCTGCTATTTTGTTTAGGACAGCCTGGGTGATTTTAAATGAATAAGGTAAAAGTGTGTGTTCATGTGCAATATATGTGTGTGCCCAGGCCTTTGGAGGCCATGTGTTTGAATATGTAGAGCTGGATTCTGACTTTACAAACAGACTGTAAATTCCGAGGACCTTTTAGATCTCAGTGCAGCTTTTCTAGGTTTACATCGTAGCAGCAGAGATCGGCATGGGAACTGCTCAGTGGGACTTTTTCTTCTTTTCCCTTTTTTTTGCTCTCCTGAATGTTCACGTTTACCAGGAAAACCAAGAAGATTGAGCTTTTGTGGTATGTGTTGAAAACTATTGGAGAAATTGTTCAAGAACAGTTTATCCATAGATTGTCACTGCAGTGCTTTCAAGGACAGTTTCATCTTGGGTTATTGGCTGTTGCAAGCACCAGTTGCACAAAGGCATATTTAACTTGTGC